AGGTCTCAGCCTCCTCCACGGAGCGCGTTGCCCCGGGCAGGTGCCCGTTGCACTGTGTGTGCGTGGATGGGTCCCGCCGGCCTGAGCGCCACTTAGGTGTCCCTACTTGTCTTCTTTCCTAAGGGCTCACCCTAGGTAGGACCTTTAAGACACAGACACCCCGAAGGCTCTTTCACAGATTAGGTAATCCTCATGCTTTTTTGTTTGCTTGTTTTTTAACTACGTGGTGAATTTTTATTTATTTTTTTTTACCATTCTTCCCCCCAAACTGCTGTTCGCTTCTCCCAAAGTTTTAAACATTAGGATGGACTGTTTGCAGTTCTTAACTTAAAATTGTTCATCTGCATTATTAACCGGTTAATAATTAGCATTTTTAACCAGTGAATGGTTAATTCCGCATTATTAACCGGTCAATAGTTAATCAAAGAAAACACGATAATTTAAAGAGAAACAAACATCAAAGTTCTTTATTCAAAGTAATGTCCCTCGCTAGCTACACATTTCCCCCATCTTTCAGGTCATTTGTGGAGACCGTCCCAGTAGAACTTTTCTGGTTTTGAGGCAGACCATTCAGCAGAGACCTTTTGCACTTCCTCGTACATTTTTGAAGGGCTGCTCAGAAAGTGCGTGTGCCATCGCTCAGAACAAGTGGTCATCTGGAGGAGCAATACAACAAAATAGCATACATATCAAATCGCATCTATATCAACATATGTGGAACTCCATCAATTGAAAAAAATCCCCATTGTTAACTGGTATACCTAGTATTTGAGCCCGGCCACCGTGACTCAGTGGTAGAGTGTTGACCTATGAACCAAGAGGTCACGGTTCAATTCCTGGTCAGGGCACATGCCCTACTTTCGGGCTTGATCCCCAGTGTGGGGCGTGCAGGAGGCAGGCAATCAATGATTCCCTCTCATCATTGATGTTTCTATCTCTTTCTCTCCCCCTTCCTCTCTGAAATCAATACAAAATATTTTTAAAAAATAACATTGGTTTGGGATGATGCATTAGGAGGAATTTTGTAAAGGTTAATTTAGAAAAATGATGTGACCGCAAGACTTCTCTGTCTAAGGCAGTGGTTCTCAACCTTCCTAATGCCGCGACCCTTTAATACAGTTCCTCATGTTGTGGTGACCCCCCAACCATTAAATTATTTTCGTTGCTACTTCATAACTGTAATGTTGCTACTGTTATGAATCGTCATGTAAATATCTGATATGCAGGACGTATTTGCATTGTTACAAATTGAACATAATTAAAGCATAGTGATTAATCACAAAAACAGTATGTAATTATAGATGTGTTTTCCGATGATCTTAGGCAACCCCTGTGAAAGGGTCGTTCGACCCCCAAAGGGTCACGACCCACAGGTTGAGAACCGCTGGAGGTATTTGGAAAAAAGCATATCCATTCAACAAATGCTTAGTCTTTTGCTGGATGCAGTGTCCTTGCTCCCAAAGTACCTACCCACAGTCTGTCTAAATGAAACAGACTTGGGGCAAGTAGAGGCCAAAGACATATTGTGAGCTTGCTTTGCAATTTTGCCTGGGGCTGGTTCATCCCAGATAACCCCTCTAAGCTCATCTTGTCTGTGCTTGTTTTCTTATTTATGAAATGATGACCTCATAGGGTTTTTTTAAAAATGAAGATTCAATTAGTAAAAAAGCCAGAACAGTGCCCGATTCCTAGTAAACACTCCTTGAATTTTATTTTTTTAAATATATATTTTTATTGATTTCAAAGAGGAAGGGAGAGGGAGAGAGAAAAAAACATCAATGATGAGAGAAGATCATTGATCGGCTGCCTCCTGCACACCCCCCATTGGGAATGGAGCCTGTAACCTGGGCATGTACCCTAAACTCAGAATCGTGACCTGGTTCATAGGTTGATGCGCAACCACTGAGCCACGCCAGCCGGACAGCATTCCCTGAATTTTAGAGAGAATGGTAGACGTGTGGCGGCAGATGCCTTTGCTAGAGCTGCTTTGGGAGGGCATGCTGGGAGTGTGTGTGATGATTGTTCTCGGTAGATCTGTGATGAACTCATATGGTTTCCCCATTTTCAAGATTTCTGCCTACTTGCGATAGATGTCATCTGAGAAGAATTTGATTTAGCCCAAGCTTCATGGTGGGGTGAAATAACAAGTATCTCTATTCCATTTAGAATTGGAGGACCTTTAGGAAACATGCCTATTGTGGAAAATAGGGCTCTACACAGAAATTCCTGTATTCCACCCTAACCGGTTTGGCTCAGTGGATAGAGCGTCGGCCTTTAGACTGAAGAGTCCCAGGTTCGATTCCAGACAAGAGCATGTACCTTGGTTGCGGGCACATCCCCAGTAGGGAGTGTGCAGGAGGCAGCTGATCAATGTTTCTCTCTTATCGATGTTTCTAACTCTTTATCCTTCTCTCCCTTCCTCTCTGTAAAAAAAATCAAAATATGTATTTAAAAAAAATTCCTGTATTCCTATCATTGTTACAATGGCATGCCCTTCAGTTATCTTATTAGAAAAGTCTGTCCCCAGATTTCCTTTTTATTATTTTAACTGGCCCTTTGGAAAAAAGGTCAACAGGTTTTTGTTGTCTTTTGATTGAATACCTAGATCCTGTGGCATATAAAAACACGGCACTTACTGTAGCAAAGGTCATTTATTTTTGGACACACTCTGGATCGTGTCCCACCATTGGAGAAGGAGATGAAATGGATCCCTCCTCAGAGCTATTTATAAGCCCGTCGCTCTCCAGCTTTGAAACTGGTGACAGGAACAGGGACAGAGTAATCTTTCCCTTCTGTCTTCCTTCTAAGGACACATTTTAAAAATATGATCCCGCCCATTAGACCTCATGACAGTAAAAAAGGAGCCATGCACATGGCTTGTCACTTGATTGTTTTTTTTTCTTCTAGAAACGTTGCTTCCCCACCTTCATTCTTTAGAGTAAATTAGTAAGCGATACAAGGTTTGCTGGCTATGGAATTTATTGGTGTTAATAAGGGTGCTGGTACTTTCTCAGCTTCATCTCCCAAACCTACACTCTAAATATTCAGGTAGGACTCCACCTTTGAAAGCATATTCTTACTGTTGTTAGTTGCTATTGAGAGCTTACTATTTGCCTGGCACCACACCAGTACCTCTATGCACATTCTCTCATTTAATTTACAACTCCATGAGAGGTAGTCTTATGCCCATTCATAGTTAGGGAAACTGAGGTTCAAGGAGTTAAATAACTTTTATTGTTAATCCTCACCCAAGGATATTTTTTCCATTGCTTTTTAGGGAGAGTGGAAGAGAGAGGGAAAGAAACATCGATGTGAGAGAAACACATCGGTGGGTTGCCTCCTGCACGAGCCCCGACCCAGGCCCGGGAGGAGCCTGCAACGTGCCCTGGACTGAAATTGAATCCCGGACCCTTTGGTTGCGGGCAGACGCTCTATCCACTGAGCCACACTGGCCAGGGCTTAAATAGCTTTTATATGTAATGTGATATATGTAATGTGATAGAGGCAGGATTCTGATGGTGGCCTCCCTGACTCTGCCTGCCCCCTCTGCTGTAGTTTATGCCACAGTGTCTTTCCAAACCGATGCGCGTTATAAACATCTCGTTTGTTTCAAAGAATTTATATATTCACATGAGCATGAGCACATACCTGTGTGTGGACAGTGGGCTTGTAGGAGCTTTAGAATTTATTTCTTCTTTCTGCTTACTTGTATTTCCTACAAACATTTATGTTATGTTGGAATAACGTTTTTATGTTCCTTATTACACGTCGTCACTGGTACCTGTGTGTGGAAGACACCAAAGTGTTAGTAGTCGTTATCTCTGGACAGTGGGCTTGTAGGAGCTTTAGAATTCATTTCTTCTTTGTACTTGCTTGTATTTTCTACAAACATTTATGTTATGTTGTAATAACGTTTTTATGTTCCTTATTACACGTCGTCACTGAGACGGGGCATTTCTGATTGATTGTTGCTTGTTTCTAGAGCCACTGGCCCCATTTCCTCAGGGGAAACACGGTCACTATGACGTGGTGGTTGGTGTGTTGTCCGCCCGCAATAACCATGAGCTTCGAAGTGTGATCAGGAGCACCTGGCTGAAACATTCACTCCAGCACCCCGCGCTCGGCCCCCGGTGGGTTCTTCTGAGCTGGCACCTGCCTGACTTAGGGACTAAGGTGCAGCCTCTTTTCCGGGAGAGATGGCAGTTGTGTTTCGCTTTTCCTCCATATAGTGGAGCCCCAAAGTCAATTTAACCCAGGTGTTAAGCCAAAAGGTAGTTGGGGAGAATATAGTCATTGGTTAACATGCCTACTATTTATAGATGCCTAGTTTGTTTTGTTTTTATTTTTTTTGCTTTGGTTTAGAATAGCAATTCTTTTTAAAAAAAATATATTTTTTTATTGATTTCAGAGAGGAAAGGAGAGGAAGAGAGAGATAGAAACTCAGTGATGAGCCCTGGCCAGTTTGGCTCAGTAGATAGCTGTGTCAACCTGCTGACTGAAGGGTCCAGGGTTCGATTCCGGTCAAGGGCACATGCCCGGGTTGTGGGCTTGATCCCCAGTGGGGGGTGTGCAGGAGGCAGCTGATCATCAGTGATTTCACATCATTAATGTTTCTCTCTCTTTCTCTCCCCCTCTCCCTTCCTCTCTGAAATCAATAAAAATACATTTAAAAAAAAGAAAAGTATGTACCTATATAATTAAAAAAAAAAAAACACCAGAAAAACTCGATGAGGTTGCTGGTTATGTTGGTAGCAGACATTTCAGAGGAAGCGGTGGATATTGAAGCTAAAATTCCCGTTTTATAAAATGAGCAGGAAATGAGAAACTCGAGGCTGCCGTGGTAGTTAATTCCTGTGTAGAATTTCACTGTAAAGGAAAGGGTGTGGACAGGAGGGACAGGAGGCAGATAGGAGTGATGTCAGGACGTCCTCATATTTATAACGTATAGGGAAGGATGGAGCCAGCGGTTACAGGTAACCATGGTTACAGGTAATGGGTGAAGCAAGGTTGAGGACGACCCTCGGGTAGGAAGGCCAAGCTGCGGCCACGGGAACACCCTCTGAAGTGGAAGAAAGCACGCGGAGAAGACATGGGGCTGGGTGTCGGGTGCAGGGGGGGAGTTGACTGTAGGTGCGCTCACCCTGGCTTCACTGGGGGGCTGG